CACGTCCGGAACGAGGGAGAACGTTGGTCTCTTCCCGTACCATTGCCCGCCAGGTAAACAAGCTCTTTATACACGTACAACGCGGCGTACGTACAACGGGGGTACTGCAATTACCCTGTCTATCTTGCAACCAAGTACAGAGCCGTACACGAGCAAAAAAGGAAAGCTTGCCACTCGTGCGCTGGTCGCTGCGCCACATCACATCGGTACAGTAGAAGCTCCAATATCGAGATATTCCAACGCAAAAATGCACGTGGCGCTCGAAATGCATGCGAAAAAACGCGCGGATTCTCCGTTACATACCGTTACGTATTTGTCAGATTGTTCGTATTCTTTGAGAAATTTTTCAATATTTATTATAACGTACCCCGCGCGTAGGCGTAACTTACTTTCCCCGACCTTTGACATTCGGACCTATGCGAGAAATTCGCTTGACGGTGGTAAAATATGGAGAGCATGTTTAATATAGATGATAAGATAAAACGGGCGTTTCTTTTTTTACGCTCCCCGAGAACGTATCCAGAATGCGAATCCCGTCCGAACGTACGATTTAAAGACGAAGTATGTACTTGAGCTCGGAAACGAGATTCGCCCATTGACTTTATCGAGAGGCTTATTCTCGTATGCAGGCTGTACGCTCAATGCCAAATACGGTTGTGACCCTCATTCCATGTTTACGTTCAATGCGATCTCGATGATAAACGAGAGACCGTCAAAATCGAGCGAGCGCACAAAGCGGCCGTCAAAGTGCTTGCGAAAGGATACACTTATGCTTTCTGATCTTACTTCTAAATCCTAAAGTTTCTGAAAAAGTTATCTTCTCTCAATCTAAATAACACGTGTTATTTGAAATAATGAAAAAAGGAGTTTACGTGAAATTTCTAAGCCAATTTCAAATAAAAGTGTTTTGCTAACATGCAAATCCAGGAGCTATGATTTTTTAAGACTTATTCTAGAATTGGAAAGAGGTAATGAATAAGATGAATCTCGGTTAAGAGTTAACTGTGAATTGTGAAACTGGGCCTTAATGATTTACAAACTTAAAATTAAAGGGAGACAAGCGCCTTTGTCTCCTTACACGTAGTTTAACCCGAGTCGAAATTTTGCTTCTACTTTAAATCTTAATTTTAGGACATATGTAGTCTTAAGATTTATAATTAGGACACATGTAGAATTTATAATAGGTTTTAATCTAATGAATTGAACTCCTACGTTGAGCACGTAAATGGCAATTATCGGAAAATTTCTCTTATTTTTAGATTCGAAAGAAGTTTTCTAAATAGAAGCTGTAGATGAAGTAATATTAAGAGGTCCTATTTGATTGTTTGAGTATCAAAACGGATTTATGAGATTTCATTGAGATTGAAAGAGAAATAAGGGACAAATTTCAACTCGGGATGAATTATATGTTTTATGAATGATACATTTAAATAATACTATTTCAAATATAATAATTTCATATTCCATATTTTTATATTTGATATTAAAAAAGAATTTTTTTATTTACGGTACGCTAATAATAAATGAAAGCGAGCGCGGGAACCGAATGCGCAAGAATAGGTGCGAGCGCGAGCTGTTGTCGACAGTTTACTTAGTATTCGCTCTACTCGATCGCTACGAGGATCAGTGGGGATAACGAATAATGCCCAAGCATCAAGCGGCGGCGTTCGTATTACGAATATTCGACTCGCGTACGCGCTTCCCGAGTCCGGCATCCATCAAACGTCGTATACGTGTATCCGCGCGCAGCTATGTCGTAGGAACCGGACGGAACGCAATCGCGAGGATTCGCGGGCGGATCGATGCGAATCGCGCGCGCGGCGGCGCTGCGATTCTACACCCGCGAAACGTATGAATATTCCGCACGTGTATCGCACTCCGAATGCGGTGCGGCGTGACGCGTTCATCGAAATACAGACGTGAAGAGTCGCGGTTCACTTCGGCGCGGCGAGGTATTGAACGGGAATATCCGCAAATCCAAACGTGATTCCGAACACTGCTACAGTCGCTTTATCCCGCACAATAGGTGTACTAAGCCTTAAGCTTCAAGAAATCGATCAATTACAGTCGAATATGAGAAGAATAATTGGGAATGCTATATAGGCCTGTTCATTTTAGCTGAACTTTTGCACCAGCTCGTCTTTCTTCCTCTTCTTTCGTTCTGGGAAGAAAAGGAAGAAAAATGAACTGGTGCAAAAGTTCAGCTAAAAAGAACAGGCCTTTTGATTGGTTTAATCCCTTAAATCTTACTATACCTATTGTATTTGCGGGGTTATAATCATATCTTAGAAGCAAACTTGCTTCTAAGATATGATTAATTGATCTATTCTACAGTGAGAGCAAAAAGTATTCGTACAAGGAAATTTTCTATAAAAAAAGTCTTATTTCCTTATTTGTAAAAGATAAACGTTAATTAGCAATTTTGTACAATGAATATATTCTGTTCTAACATAAACAAACGAGCTTTGCGTGAATTTCTGATTTTAGAGGCTAAATTTCTCGACTGTAGACTTTTTGAGCATTGAAACAATAGAATTTTTAATTTTCGCTTATTTTTCAGATTATATATTTTCGATAATTAATACACATCTTTTTGGTATATATAATTTTAAGAAACATATACAATAATATATTTTATTCTTTATGAATAAATTGTTAATTATCCAGCAAGAAATGATTGCCAATTAAACGTCGAATTGGGGTTGAAATCATCGTATCGATATCGATTCGACATCAATTCGATGACTCATTTCTCGCTGGATAATATTTACTTTTCAAAAATAAAGTTCTTTTTATAAAATATTTTCTCTGTACGAATATTTTTTGCATTCACTGTCTACATTTCGAAATCGACGATCTCTGTTTTGCATTAATCTTGAACGATTCTACTCTAAGAATTATACTCTAAGAAAAAACTCTTTCCCGCATTATTTATTTCGATTATACGTAGAATCTCCACTTTAGCGAATTGAATTCAAATTTTGATCTAATTTTTCTTATAGGTATTCCAGAAATTAATAGAATACAATGGGAAAGAGCTGATTTCTCATATAAAAATAAATCAGAAAGATAAAATAAAATTTTTTGGATGAAGCTCTGTTTTCGAAAAGTTATAAGTTTGAATATTTATTAAATACACGTGACTAGTAATCTGACTATTCATTGTTATTTTAACATCAGTCTCTTTAGTATAATGTTAAATAATGCAGCAAGTTTCAATAGTGTATTTATTTTATTAATGAAAAAATTATTGAAAATACGAAAAAATTTTACTGTATATTTTTTATTTATTTTTATACGAGGAATTATCTCTTTGCCAATGGTATCACGATTTTCAGAATGCCCTATATACAGAGTGACTAATAAAAGTATGTCAGTACTTTGAGGGATTTTCGAGTTATAGATGATTAAAGGAAAAGTTCGAAACGTTCGTTTTATGCGCCAACATACGTATAGTATGTCTTAGTACGTTTCAACTTTATCTGATGTTTACAAACAGTATTCATCGATATTGCAGCGCGGTAGCGTCCAAGTCCGCACGATGCGGACATTTCGAATATTGCCTTTAATAACTCTTCCAACTCTAAAACTCTAAAACTAAGGTATATAGGACATATATTCATATGACATTTTTTACTTATTTTAATGTGTATTTATCGCTTGAAATGACATTTATTTATGAATCACTATATAATCATTTTTGTTAATCTCAATAACGTTTTTAGTCTGATTATAAGAGTTTAGTCGCCATTTCACCGTTAAATTTATAATATCAAATTATATTATTTTGAGTTATTTTTGTTCTATTATATCTTATGTATGTATGTCGTTGTAATTTGACTAGAACAATAGAGTTAAACGATTTAACACTAGAAAATGAATTAATTTTGATTTAAAGTTGCTTTATTATTTACTAAATGTGTAGGTTAATTTGCACTTGAAACTAACAATGGAAATGGATTAATTTACATTTTGATCTAGGCTAATACTCATAGTCCGTGCTTATTTCAATATTGTCTTAAGACGCTAATACAGCAATCCTCTGATTTACTCGTGACATCTCAAAACTGGATTTAAGGCAACTGTCTTAAATATAATACAAGAATCGACTATGAATAGCCATAGACGAAAGTTAAAAATAACAAAATGTTATTCAACTGAATGGATTCGATTATCATTGCTCCTTCGATATCTAACAATGTTGAATCGGCGTGAATGAACATGAATGAAGGAAAGTATAGAGCGATCCCTCTTTCGATAGAGAGTCGAGTAGAGTGTTGAGACAATCTACTCTGTTGTCTTTTTGCCTTCCTATCCTCCTTCTTTTCGAACTCATAAGTCATTAGTGAATGGTTAACCGATACAGCGACGTGGGAGTGGTGGAAACAGTGGCGTGCGCTCGCACAGTTACGCGCCCCGATTATGCGGGAGAGCGCGCGATTTCAAAACACGCTCCGTCAACTCGACTCCGAACTCCGAATCGATCAAGTCGTATCGCTGCTCGTCCGAATTCTCTCACGAGTCTTGCGGCTATGTTAATATTCCCGAAGTGCGTATCGATATTCATTCAGCAGGGAGAGAGCACCCTGTACTCCGGCGCTCGTTCGAAAATTGCGAGCGAGTATTGGATTTGAGTACCATCGTGCTAGACTAGACTAGGCGGCTGAATAGTAGACTAGCGCGCGTATGCTTCGTGCGCCGCAATTACTTAATTGCTCGTATCTGATTGGGCCCGCCGCGGGGGAGGGATAACGGTGTCCTCGGTTCGTGATTTGCGCGCCTCGTGTGCAACGCGCTTCCATTGGCCGGGTTACCTGGGCGGCCGACGAATCAGCCATTCATTTCTGGAACCCCCGCACTACCGACTCTAGTAAACTCCGAGTGTGAGAGAGAGAACGCGAAGAGGAGAAGGCGCGAGAGACTAACGGCGCCGAGGTACGAGACGCGCGCGCACGCGTTAGAGAGAAAGAGAGAGAGAGTGGGTGGGAGGGAGGGAGAGAGAAAGAGAGGACGGCGAGTATCGAAGTTTCGAATGCGCCCGACAATCCCGACATCGATAGCTAGCCGCCGTCGCCGCGCTGCGGCAACGCCGCGACGCGTCCTCGCGACAGTACGAGGCCGACGCGCTCACGTGTTACAGAAATCGTAGCGTAGACGAGACGAATCAAGGGAAAAAGAGACAAGTAGGAACGAAAGAAAGGGGAGGGGAGAATAGAGCGAGCGGGAGAGAAATATCATCGTTACCAGAACTCGTCGTGACAAATGCTGGATAACAGATAGAAAAAAAAAGACAGAACAAGGGGGGAGAGAGGGAGAGAGAGAGAGAGAGAGAGGGAAAACCGAAGCGCCGGTCGGAGTCAGACCGTCGGACGGTGGGGCGCAGGGCACGCTCTCTCGCGGTATTTGCGCCAAGCGTCAGTATCAATATGGCCGTTGACGTGAGCGCAGTGCGCGCAGAGACGTGGACGCGATAGTAGCCTCGGTTCGATCCCCCTAACATGAGGTATACTGCAGCCAGGAGGGACGCTTTTACGTAATACCCGGATATAACAAACGGTACCCGGCACGTACCCGCAAAATGAACTGCGCCGCGCCCGAGGCGGCCGCGACGGCAGCAGCCGTCGCGAGCGGCGAGCAGGTCGGTGCGGTACAAGGTAACGTGGTGCATCATCTTCGCCGCGTGGCGCGTGCGAGCAACGTGTCACCGTCCGTGCCTTCGCGCGTGTTTGCTAGAAACGACCGAGGAACGAGACGTCGATCGAATGTTTACCAAGAGCGTGCTCACGACCGCTCGAGATTCCGTGCTCGAGCCAAGAAAAGAGAGAGAGGGGGGGAGAGAGAGAGAGAGAGAGAGATCTCATCGCGATCGATTCGTTGTTTGTCGCCGCTGTCATTCAACCTGTACTCCGTCCGGACTCCGCGCCGCGTCCCGAGACTCCCGAGTGTAAACGTAAACGTTATCGCGTGACTCGGACCGCGAAGACGCCGCGCGACGACCGCGAGAAACCCGATGGAGGTTTCGACGCCGACGCACGACGAGGACGTGACTCGAAAACCGAAAGTGTGTGGTGCCGTCGACTGTGAGATGAGGGAACAACCGCGTGTTTTCATTCCAAGGATGAAAATGAAAACGCGCTCCTATTTGCCATGCTGGAATCTCGTGCTCCGAATCGACGCACGTCTCAGTTCCGGCGCATCTGACGTTGTTTGCCTCGATCTCGCCTCCTGAGAATAATTACGACGGGAAGTTACTCGCTGAGGGTATTCTACGAATTCGCTGGTCGACCCCGATGTCCTTCCAAGGCACAATCGATACGTCCTTTGGAGTTCGGAGATTTACTATCGACGTGTCCGCTGCTCTTTCTCTACGACGACACTGCTTTTGTCAGCTTTCGTACCGGTGATTTGTGAACGACCGATCGATACGATCTTCAATTCAGGAATTTCGGAAAGCGGTCGTAAAAGTTTCACAAGTTTTAAAAGTCGGTTTTTCATGGTGACTTGGGAAAACACGCATGGTAACTTGGGACTATCGGGGTTCACGTTTCTCTCACCCTCCCTCGAAAACTACACACGGTGAAACGGCTCGGAAAACGTGGCCTTCGACTGTGAACGTTACAGAAATATACAACCGGCTTTTGGACAATTTATCGTCTCAGGGTCTCTCTCTTTCTTCGGCACCTGCCGCAGCAGATGTTAAGAATGGTCAGGGTTTGTAAGAAAATGATGGGCAGTTTAGAAACGTGTGTGAATTATTATACTTAAGAGGATGTAACAATTATCGATCTTTGTGTGCACCGCTGAAAAAACTTGCTTTTTTTTTCCTTTCTTTATCGACACGACGAATTCCGACAAAATACTCGAATGAATGAAACTACAATAGTAGATTTGCTACTAATAGATTTTGCTAACTTTAATAAATCATCCGATAATATGGCATCATTAGTTGGCTATCGTTTTCTCCGGAATGCTTCAGTAATCGATAAAATGCAATCTTTTAGGTGCGACGGAGATACTTGGTATTCTGTCAATCAATATTTAATGTCTTTATACATCTTTCGCCGCTCTCGGTAAACGTTTCGAGAATGCGTTGTTCGTTGCTCGTTTTTTTTGTGTCTTATTGTGACTGAAACGTACTTATTAAAAGATTCAAAGTCTGGATTGATGTCTAGATATCAAAAACGCAATGTTTAACAATGAAGAAGGGTCTAAACAAAACAGTGACGATGCAAAATCAACAACTGTAGAATTATTTCCATGGGTCTCAGAATTTAAAAAAATGTGCAAATGTATGTACGCGAAAAAAAGTATGGCTTCTTTGGCAGAGCTTATGCAGTACTATATCAGGTAATTTACATTTGATATTTTATGTAATACTGTACGCAGTTCACCAGTATTATCATCTTGAGCACTGGTGTCGTAATACTAGGTATATTGCATGTATTATAATATACGTTTGATGTGTAGCAATAATTGATATTCATATCTAAAAATAAGCAACAGATTTATTTATATGAAATTTGAGTTATTAAATAACTTTGGAAAACTTTTAATCAGATTATCCAGCCGAGCAATGTTCTCATGATTATTAAATTAATAAAATATATTTTTTTATAATATTGTTTATAATATTTTTAAAATAATTTTCCTGAAAATATAATTATTTTAATAAATAGATACAATAAAAATTGTAATAAAAGAAACGAGTTACATTTTAATGACAATATAATAATGTTTTTTAATAAAATGATTTTCGTATATAGTTACAATTTAAATTAAAAATTGTTTTTAGAAGCGATAAATTTAATAATTTTTGATTGTAAATGCAAAGATAATAATGATGTGAAACTTTTAATGAATTTTCTAAAAAGAATGTGTCTGTAGTTAAAACTTTAAGAGACAATATAGTAACAATTCTTAGGACGATATGAAATTATATATGAAATTAACAGACTTTTTTAATGTAATAATTTTTTAAATACATACATCATTCTAAATAACTTACTGTTGCTTCTTTTTCATTAAATTGAAAAACATTAGCTACATGCATTACACACACTTCCTCTGTACGATATCATTATTGAACTGATCTTGAGGGTCATCATGCTATTGCATTGACCCTCTCAATAGCTTAATCAGATTGTGTTTCAAGGTCGAAAAAATATTGTCTTATCTATTACAAGACGATGTTAAAACTGCAAAAGAATTTTTCTTAATTTTATTTAATCATTTACTGAATTTTATTTTATTATTTACGTAATAATATAATTTACAAACACGCAAAGATTTATTTATAGATTATTAAAAATATATACAATGAGAGCAAAAAGTATTCGTACAAGGAAATTTTTTATAAAAAAAAGTCTTATTTGTAAAAGATAAACGTTAATTAGCAATTTTATACAATTAATATATTCTGTTTTAACATAAACAAACGAGCTTCGCATGGATTCCTGATTTTAGAAGCTAAATTTCTCGACTGTACGAATACTTTTTGAGCATCCAAACAATAGAATTTTTAATTTTCGCTTATTTTCTAGATGAGTATATTTTCTATAATTAATACACATGTTTTTGGTATATATAATTTTAAGAAACATACAGTCTATTTTATACTTTATGAATAAATTGTTAATTATTCAGCAAAAAATGATCATTAATTAAACGTCGAATCGACGTCAAATTAATGTTGAAATCATCGTATCGATATCGATTCGACATCAATTCGATGACTCATTTCTCGCTGGATAATATTTAATTTTT